TGACCACTGTCTTCAGGGCCAAGGGAAACCCAAACCATCACCATCTCTCTTAGCGTGCACACGCTATTCAATCACTCACTCTGAAACCAATTACAGCCTGTGGCTTGATACTAGGATACATCAGAAAAGAGCTAACTGCAAAATCTTTCTCTCTGTTTAGGATCTCAACTGTAGTAACGATTGGCTACACCAGCTCCATTTTTTAGACAGTGTTTCCTTTGTCCATAGCTTTGAAAATAGACCTGATTCACAAATATGTGTGAGAATGCTTAGTTTGGTAAATTTATAAAGTTACTTGCTTAATGGAAAAAACATGGTAGATTTTGATGAAAGGATTGCAGATCCACTGGCTTCCTCCTTTCTTCCTCTTTTCTTTCTTTGTCTATTTAGATTGCAGATCTATGAAGCAAAAATGTTTTACCCAGTGCCACTGCAGTACCTTGCACAATGCAAATCTTTTACCTAGAGCTTGGCAAGCCACCAAGAACCAATACACGAAGATATACAGGACTGGTGGCTACAATGGAAGCTGCTTGGCATGAAGGATTAACAGATTACGGAATGGACAAAGAAGAAAACATCAAAAGCTTTAAATATCATCAGTTACAGGAGTATACTCCTCCTCCTTCAAAGTAATGCATACAGGAATGTGTAACATATCCCTCACGTCATTAGAAGAGCTCTCATTTAGCTGTCACAGTATGGTACATCCTTGTTAAGCTTAAACGGACTTTTTTTCTCCATGAATTCAAAGAATTTTCTTTTAGCTCCACGTGTAATCCTTTAAATAATTGCACATGCAATAAATTAATGAAAATCAAGGAAACTGCCTCTACTTAGAAAACCAACTTAATCTGGCATGCTTTGCTGCACACTTCTAAATGCTCAAAATCTTTCAGGCCCTGCTTAAACCAAACATCTCCACACTGTGCCAGTAATCTTTATGGAAAAATAGCGAATTAAATTTGGCACTAAAGCATGAAATTCTTAAGCTGTCTCCTAAAAAAAGGAGACATCAGTGTCAGGTAGAGTCTGCCATCCTGTTGCCTCCAAGCACATGTATTTACTTAGAAAGGAAAACTCGCCAACAGTCAATCGCCAAATTCGGTAGAAAAACAGTGCTGTTACAAATCCCTCCTGTTCTCTGCAGGAGTCGTAGTTTTTTAAACTGTTCTTTTGAAATTCACACATTTTGTGCCTTGCACTGATTTCTGCTAGTCACCTTCCTCAAGCAGGCTTTCTACAAGGTACCTCTGCTGACTTCTGCTGCTTTGTGGATCTCTCAAGAGACTGCTGTACCATTTATGTTGCCCACTCTGGAAACGAAGTGTGAAATTTCACAGATCACTCTATCCATTTTCTTTCAGTAGCTATCAGTGGATCTCTTCATATGCTTCCCCTGCAACTGGACAGCAGCTGTATCCTAACCAGGATATTTATTGAGGAGACCTCAGCTCTGCAATGTCTTGCCTCCCTACAGCCTGAACCTGCTGATCAAAAGAGCAAGTGACAGGAGTTATAGGCACTCACTTGTTCAGTTCTCCACACTGGAAGGGCATCTCACAGATGTTTGGTATGACAGTGATGCCAATCCTTTGAAACAAAAACTAAACACAAAAAAAAACTCAAACAAGAGCCAAAACAGCCACCCCAAAACAAACAAAAAAACAAACACCAAAACACAGAATGGGTTTAAGTCTAATTTATAGTATGATAGCAAAATGTTTCTTGCAATTATAAAAGTGCAGAGCCTATTTTGCCTAAAATCAAGTACATTTAAAGAGTTGTATAGTGGAAATAATTAAGGCTTGTCTGTTATCCAATCTAACAAAATATTTGAAATCCTCGACTTTGAAACCCATTACAAACACACATTTAGACTAGAGACGTGAAGTAGCTCAGAAATTCTGAATGTCTATCATTTTCAGGACAGAACTTTTTCAGAAAGCTCTGAACTGCATCGATTAACATTTCAAATCCATGTGAGCCTCCCTTGAGTACATGGAATCAGCTCTCCGTCTGTACACTGTTTTCTACTTACAGGAGCTAAGGATCTGAGGACCAGACGCTGCATTGGCATGTCCACTTCACTTCAGGAGTCTGACAGTGCAGTATCACTTAAATAATGAAGCACACATCTGGTAGGAGATTGCTGAGGTTGGCTAAGTTTGTACAAGGTCAGTTCATCCTCTAAGCTCCTGTATGCTGAGAATTAAGCAAGTAGTTTTCATGGCAACAAGCAGAACCAACTGATCGATCTCAGGGTTTGTTTTCTAAGTAGCATGCCTTTATTTTAAATCAGTTCTTATGGTATACAAATAGGAGGGAACTCTATTGTATTTCTCTGAGACTTTTCCTGAAACTTTTAATTAGTTAATTCCTGCCTAAAGGAATATATTCTAAAATATGATCCTTTCTCTTCTGTGAGAAAGGTAGAAAAACTATAAAGCAAAAAACCCACACATGGCAAAGGGGAAAGTACACATATTCTTCCACAGATGATCTACCCCACTGCTGTGCTTTGCAAATTATGGGCTCGTCTTAACAAAGGTTGGAAAATCCTTGAAACCTGTGGCAATAAAACAGGAAAATTTACTTAGTTAGTGCTTTCGATAATTTTCACAGAAGGGCAATACCTGCTCAGTAGGAAATGTGATATCCAGTTTCCTTACCTATTGTTATCATCTTGCTTTACAGCAATGCGTCAATCCTGATACAAAACTTCACCTAGAAATTCTTCCTATAGTATAATAACAGACATTTTTATAAACTCAGAGTCACATAAAAATGAGACAAACAGAATGAAAAATTATTTTTGTCACTCAAGAAATAACATTGATGGTCCACAGCATGAATAAACAATTTAGTGAGTAAGGTATGTTGGCTCAAGCTCAGATCTCAACAATCTTTCACATCCTAACAATTATCCAAAGTAGCCTTTCTTCAGCAGTGGTGAAAAACAGCTATCTGCATCCCAGTTCAGAGCTTTAACTTCAAGCAATCTTTTCACCTGAGCCTTTGACATTTAAAAAAATACTCAAATATTTTTTGCAAGTTTGCTTGTTCTCCATTATTTGAAGACTTCAACTTGTCTTTTTGTTGTAGCTTTGGTGGCTTTTTTTTATTTTTTCCATTTGGCAAGTATTGATTTTTCATAAATGCTCCTGTCAGAGTATGAACCAGCTTCTATGCCTCATCAAGTGACGAAGAAAGAGGAGAGCTCACCCTCAGATGGACGCACACACAAACACTGAATTATCAGCAGGAGCACCACTCATTCTTTCTGATCCTCTCCTCCTGCTAGCTCGTTCTTTAAAAGGACAACATCAAGTAGCAACTGAGATTGGAAAACACTATCATGGTTCTGTTGTACTTTGCTCCCCCTCTGATAATCCACGACTGCCATGCCAGCAGATATCAGAGCTCCATAACTGAGCTTGAGTGACTGGGGCTGGCTCCTTCCACAGAATGATACTTTCTGGTCGCACTGATTTTTGGCACTTATTTCCTGGGGTTTTGTCCTGAAGTGGCAGACAATCTAGAAGAATATAAGTGTGGAGAGAAATCTGAAAGATGAGAAAAGTTTTCCTTCCTTAGCTTTTCCATTGTTCTCATTTTTATAAGAGCATTCTGTGAGAAAGGTCAGCTTCCTCTATGTCCAGGATGCTGTAATAGGGACTTCAATTCTGTAATTTCCCATTAAAACTCTGGCCTTTTCAATGAACCACCCAGGTACTTTTAAAAAGTAATCATGGTTTTATGAGTCAGTTTAAATAAATAAATAAATAAATGGAAAGTAAAAAGCACCTCTGATAACCATGGAAACTTCGGATGTGTTGGCACAAGTCCATTATGATGTGAAGTAACACCCCGCAACCTAGATGCAGTTTGAAGTGTCTCTCATCTGTGGTGTTCTTGGTTGTTTATCCCAGAGTACACACAGAGACCAAGTCAAGATGCTTTTTTCCTGTGGGCCTCAAGAGCATCCTATGTGCCTAACGATCAAAAAGATGTTACTCAAGCAACACGTCACCATGAAGGGAAGCCACTTCACGCTTTTCTCACGTTGCACTTCTCTTTGTTTTTCTACCTTGAAAACAAGGACACTATATTTTTCTGTACATGGAAAGTACCGAGCACATTCAATTTAGCATCACTTTTGTTTACTTTTTTCTATTCAGAGCAGCAAAGAAGATCTGCTGTCAGACCAGTTTGTGCTAACATTTGATTTCTTTCTTGCCTCTAACTTGGTCAGTCATTGACTAAAACTATTATTTTGCTTTCTTTAATGGACAGACAGCTTCCCTTGGCAAGCTCACTGACAGGTCCATACCAATTGATGCCTTTCCTCATGGAAAAAACAACTACTTGGGTGGGGAAAAAAAGCTAGAAAGTTACAGAAACAGGCTGGTACTCCTTTTGACGAGAGGTGATGCAATCCAGAGATTGAGGCACTCACCACGCACTTCAATAGAAGTCCAGTAGTGTTCACACACTTCAGCCTCATATCTCTGTTATAGCCTTGCAGCCCTGGGGCCTCCCATCTTCCAAGAGGAAGCTGGGGGACTGGAAGCAACTTCACTGTATCAATGACTATCCTGTAAACGTAATTAATTTAGGGACTTCACATTGGTTTCTCCATAATGCAACCAGGCACCTGAAACTAAAAAAATGAGGCATTTTAGAAGTGCTTCATCTGTTAAGGCTTCTGGATAGTGACCAGCAACCCTTAGGATACCTTGTTATCATCCAGTGAGCATGATAAAATATCTGGGACAATGTCTCAGGTCTGCCGAGTTTCATGCCAACAGCCACGAGGTAGCATGCAGAGCAGAACAAGCTTGTCCTGTCTGCAGCAGCACCAGAAAACTGCAGCAGTGCCACATGTATCCAGAGCTTTAGGCAGACCCCAAGTGACTGGAACTCCACTTGACCCCTTTAACTTCTGTGCCTCACCTGCAACTCACTGCTCAGCTTTTTTTTTGCTGAAGAGTGGACAGTCGGTGCAGCAAGATTGGGCAAAGGCAGCAGAGGGGATTATTGGGGTGATGACGGGGCACAGACCTGGCTCAACAGGAACAAGTGCTGAATGGCTGCTGCCGCTGCAGAGGCATTACTCAGTCTTGTTGTTCCATCTATTTCCTGGAAAGAAAAGCTGGTTATTTATGCTTCTGAAACAGCTGCTTTAAGAAAAGCTAATTTCACATTGAAGCTCAGGATATGCAGACAAGCTGGCCACCCCAATAGGGACAATGAAGGTAATAAATGCCTTTTTTTTTTTTTTTTAATGAATTAGACCTAACTGCAAGGAATAAAACCATATTTAAACTGTATCAAGAGAATAAGCCCCAGTTTGCCTTGTTGTCAGATGTGATAGCCTGATCTAGCCAAGAATCTCATGTGTATAGTGTATGTGTCTAATTACGCTAAGCACTTCTTCCCATATTGGATACTGCTACCTGTGAATTAGAGAAGTGAGAAGATCAAGGCTTAGTACCCTGCACTCACAGCCTACATGAGTCAGGAGCAGGACCCAGACATCCTTACAGCCAAGTATTTCACTACTGCAAAAAGTAGCCATTTCATTTTGCCAAACATGTTCATACTGAAGCAATTATCTTTGGCAATCTCTTAACAATATTTTTTAAATATTCTCTTCAGTATCATCACTGAGTTCAAACTGTAAATTTTTTTTAATCCACTCTCATTCTCCTCCTAGCTCTAATTATCTGGATTGCATCCACACCATGAAGCAGAATTGTGACAAGTAAGCAATCACCCCAGAGATTTCCCAGAAATTTGCTTTCTAATTGGGTTGAAAATGCCTGAACTTTCTGCATCACATTTTTGCACATAACTAGATTTTCTATGAACACAATCTTTGAAATGCAGAAATGCAATATTGTAATTATTTAATTGGGTTGTCACATGACAGGATCTTATGGTCCTAGGTGCTGTACATAAATTTCGGCAAAAAGACAGTGGGTTCCTGTGCAAAAGAAATAAATACTTGAGGGTAAGATTAAAAAAAAATGATACTGGAGAAAGAGATTAAGAAGCTAACCTTGAAATGAACAGGTTGCACTATAAGCATGAATCTGTAATTCTGCTGCAAAGAAAAGAAATATAATATGATGGTGAAAATCCAGAACTTTCCTGACTGCTATTTACAGACATGTCATTTATGTCATATAACCTCTGTCCCTTATTTACTTATTGGTAGAATGGAAATAATAATAGCTTCTTTATGAAGAATGATTAAATGTTTGTAGTGCTTTGCAATCATTAGTTTGAAAATATGGCTGTGGAATACTATTGCTAAAGACAAACCGTGCAATGTGCATAGTTGATACAGTATTGACTAACCTCATCTTTCTGATTTTAAAGTTTTAACTAAGCAATGCTTAATGAAATTTGCTAGACTAACTGCTCGTGTTGTCTCTGCTGGTAATGCAAAAGCAAACGTCTGTAAGTACGGTACCCTGAAGGCAGACATTAGGAGTTTCTCTGTTGAATCCAGCAGAGAAGTTTCTTGCATCTCCGTTGAATGCCATCATGCTGTGATTAGTTAATCATTAAGTACATAGTGCTTTTAATTAACTGCCAACTCTGCTTGGGCATCTGTTCTGAAAATCACATCCGATCATGCTTTTCCCAGTCTGTGGCTATGGAGCTCTTCAATAATACAGTTGTTGCTCCATTCTCCAGCTCTCTGTGCTGCAAGACAGCTCAAGTCCAGAGTGTCCTACATGAATTGAAATATAAATGACCTATTTTTCCAAGGGAATAAAAGTAAATGGGAATTAAACTTATTTTCCTCAATAGGTAATAAATGCTGCTATTAAAAAGCAGATCAGGCCAATTAACTTTATTTTTCTGGAAGAAAAAAGAGTCTAGAAGAATATTTTTATTTTTGAGTATCAGCACATAACTTCATTAGTTAGCCTTTTTTTTTTTTTATAAGGGGCAGAGAGACTCATAATAAATACAACAGATTCTATAAAATATTTCATTTGACAAAAAGTGAGAGAGAAATACACAGTGCAAACATTCCCTTACCAACACTATACTTGTCCGTCTACATATCTCAGTCTCTGCTGGTCTCAAAAAGCTCCTTTTTAAGTGTATTTTAAAATTAACTCCAACATATCCTGGGGGAAAAAAAAATAAGATTGTAACATATCACATTCTGCTTAAAAGGTGATAGGAAAAAGCAACATTAGAGGAAGGACAACACACAGTAATGCTAGTAGTAGGCAGGGCATCCTCTGTTGATGCTGTCAATCTGGTTGAAAACCAAATCAAACGAGATCAGAGGATGACTTGGCCATTTGATGGGATGGAATTAAATGAAACAAGGGCAGGCAGGAGAGGCCATGACCATGTGACACCTTTTTAGAATTTTCCAAGACCAGGAATTTGTTGGGTCATGCTTTGCTCCCCAGCCTAAGCACAGAGGGCTGAACCCCTCAAGAGCTCTGGCCTGCACTCGAACAGATTGACCTGCAAGATTAACACTAGAGCAGGTGTTTTATGGCCTGACAAGTAACTGTACCAGTACACACCAGCTCCATTATCACAGACAGTGCTGGTATAGCCAGTCAGAAAGCAACAGTCTCAGCCAACACTCATGTTGCAGGTTAAGATGCTTGCTCACACCGTGTATGCGCGCTGGCCATGTAAAGATTCCTGTATGTATGGCAACACATTGCAAAAAGCTGGAAGAGTGGTGGCCTTTCTACTCAGAACTTCTCCGTATAAGACAAGGACATGCAGAAACCCAATGCAGAGTATAAAAGAACACATTATAGCAACTCCACTGCTACCAGTCTCACACCAGTGTATGCCGTTTCAGACCATCCATCTCTAAGCTGTTACTTATAACATATGAATCCGTGCTAGTAAAAAGGTAGAATTCATAAAGTGCCCATTATTTCTATATAGAAATGTCTGTCAAGGAAAAGGGCACTCTGTCAATTACTGAAAACAGAGAAGAATGAACCATCATTAAGCTTTAAACTTGTTCTGTCAGGAGTGGAGCAAGAAACTTGTGTGAACCTTGCAATACAGAATTAAACACTGCAGTTAAACAATAGCCAGTCTGTATCAGGCAGGCATGTTATGATTCTGGCTAATGTAACAAACACTGTCAGATACCCATTTTACATAATAGCCCTTTTTCAATGAGTTCAAAGTAATTCTGCTGTTTTCTTTGAAAATTTCACTGTGGATGTCAAGATGTACCAGCACATAGAAAAGGGGTATTTCATAACAATATGAAAACATGCATTTCTAGTTGTTTCCACGCTGAACTACACTGAGGGCAGCACTTTCATATACGGAGTTCAAGGTATTCCTGGGAACAGACTGCTTCCTGATGACATCATGAGAACATTGTCACTCAGGCAACAACTTGCTACTATGGCAACCACAGCTTTTACAGATGCTGAATGCCAATGAGGTTAAAAAACACCATTTTGAGATTTATTAGTTAAAAGTTTGCCAATATTTGATGCAAGAAGTAACAAGAAGTCTGTTGCAGATGCACAGCATTGGGCACTTCTCTACCTGTTATTGGGAAGCTGAGAACAATGAGATTTATCTTCCAGCCAAGGAGTTCCTGGGCTAACTGCACTTTCAGATACATCCTTACATGCCACTGAGGCTAGAAATAGACCTGAACACTAACTTTGTGATTTGGGGGCAGCTGAAAGAAAAGGACTGCTGCCTCATCTAAGAGTCCCTAAAAATGTAGAGATTTGGGGATAGGGAGTTTCAGTACTCTCAGAGCAGAAACCAGCACAGACTTTGAAGATAGTCAGGTATTGTATGAAGATGTACCTTTGGAAAAGAAGTGGGTTCTTCCCCTGCTGCAAAGAATTATAAAATCTGAGATAAAAACACCTGGCTTTATAAGCAATTGCTATCTGTGCTGAGGGTACTATCAGATGAAATCAGTCAGTTACAAACTGTTTTAAAACTAAAAGCCATGTTTCTGTTCCAAAACTTTATGCATTCTACCAACTGTAAGCGAATCTCAGTGGCTCTAGAACATTGTCAAATCAAAGATATCATCCTGATGAGTAACCTGCCTTCTGCAGGACATTTTACAATGTCCTAACTTTAATCACAGATTTGTTCAGCTGATTTTGTCGCCAACGGATACAGCAGAGGATTATATCAGTACTCCCAGTAAATTAAGTTTCCTGAATTAGAAAGCATCATAAACACAATCTAGTCAGAATCCACTCTAAAACTTGACTGTTATATAAGCATTTTTTCATTTTGTAGCTGTAAACGTTAACTCAATTAGATCTTCCAAGAGTTGTACTGTCTGCTAGGCTGGAGATCTGCTTCGGGTGACATGTATAGGAAGGAGGAACTGGAGGGGGAAAGGGGTGTACAGATTTACCCCTGGGGCTTTTTTCCTTGTTGACACTTTATAGTGAAGCTCATCAACTAGAACTGTAATAAAAATGGAGTTTAAATGTGTGTGTTAAAACCACAAAACCTAAGATATATTGTTTATAATGCATTTGCTGCCACATTTGAAGTAACTGGTCACTACTGGCGGTCTCAGAGGAATAGACAAAGCCAAATTATTACAGTTCTTTGGGGGGTGGTCTCAGTGTGATACTGAGATGCAACAGCAAGCTTTGAGAATTGCTTCTGTTCCGGGTCTGTATGACAGCCATCCAGCTCTGGGGCAATGAAAACAAAATGCTTTCAATACACCCACCTACTGTACCTTTATGTTTTCTTCGATATGTATCCTACGAGGCATTTTGTAGTGTTCCTTTTTAGTCCAGGAGAATATTAAGGCCATCACTGGTTTTCATTTCCACACGTTACCCAGCAATCCAGGCTCCTATTGGCAGTGAAGCCCCTTCTCCGTGCAATTCTCCCCCATCATCAGCAAGAACAGAGATGTGGAAGAGGCCAATTACCTTTTGGAGAGAAGGAAATTACTTGCTGATAATTGAGTTCTCCGAGCATGGTGTCCGCTATTAGAGCCACACTCATCCTCCCACCTCCCCCTGAGAGTTGGGGTTTTATTCCTATTTAAGTTCTAATTATTATAATTAGTCTGAAAAGGATTTGGGAGTTAGGGGCTATGATATGCCATATAGACCCCTCAAGGCATCTTTTGTACTAACTCATTATGACCAGTTCTAAACTTTACCATTTAATCTAGTGATTCAGTACCCAAGGTCACAACAGCTGAGACCCCCTGAGCATCAATCCATAGAGACTCCCACCTTCGGAGAACTACAATTAAAAGGTAAATAATTCCCTTGCTGCTTCCTCTGTGAGGCAATGCTACAAGTCAGAGAATGGAATCCAACCTCAGCCTAATTACTACTTCGGTAATTTATGCAGTTGCAATGAAAAAGTTGGCAAACGCTTTTTCATTATCAAAAAAGAAACACAAGGCCAGCCACAGTTCATCTCAGACTGAACTTGACAAGAGACTCAGGCTTACAACAAAAAAGTTGCAAACTTTGTTTTTCCGTATCACTCAAACTCAAAAAAATTTGGAAGACCTACACTCCAAGAAAGCCAAATAGTCCTCACAACATGCAGGCCATGGAAACAGCACTCTTCACTACGCTAATGAAAGACTCAACCTTTTCTTTGCTTATTCCATCACAAAACTCCTGGTAAATCATTACAGTACAAGTTTTAAATTATTTGAATCAAGCTATGCAAAAAAGGATTTGAAACAGTGCTGAATTGAAGTATGAGTGAGAACAAATTCTAAAAAATACCATCACCCAAGTTGACAGATTCCAAGAAATTCAACAGATGATGGTATTTTCCTGAATGACAGCAGCCTCCAGGCTTGAAAACTGTAAATAAAAGTTTAAAATTTCACAGGAAAGAGAATGAAATGAATATAATATTAACATGAGCCTGCAGTGTGCACTCACAGCCCCAAAAGCCAACTGTATCCTGGGCTGCATCAAAAAGAGTGTGACCAGCAGGTTGAAGAAGGTGATCCTTCCCTTCTACTCTGCTCTCATGAAACCTCACTTGGAGGATTGTGTGCAATTCTGGTGTTCTCAACATACAAAGGACATGGAACTGTTGGAACAAGTCCAGAAGAGGGCCACAAGGATGATCAGGGGACTGGAGCACCTCCCGTATGAAGACAGGCTGAGAAAGTTGGGGCTGTTCAGCCTGGAGAAGAGAAGGCTGTGTGGAGACCTCATAGCAGCCTTCCAATATCTGAAGGGGGGCTATAAGGATGCTGGAGAGGGACTCTTCATTAGGGACTGTAGTGATAGGGGAAGGGGTAATGGGTTAAAACTTGACCAGGGGAAGTTTAGATTGGAGGTAAGGAGGAAATTCTTTACTGTAAGGGTGGTGAGGCACTGGAATGGGTTGCCCAAGGAAGCTGTGAATGCTCCATCCCTGGCAGTGTTCAAGGCCGGGTTGGACAGAGCTTTAGGTGATATGGTTTAGTGTGAGGTTTCCCTGCCCATGGCAGGGAGGTTGGAACTTGATGATCTTAAGGTCCTTTCCAACCGTGACTATTCTGATTCTATGAATCATTTGCCAGCAGTTGGAGTCATAGAATCTTAGAATGGTTTGGGTTGGAAAGGATCTTTCAGATCATCCAGTTTCAACCCCCTGCCATGCCCAGGGACACCTTCCAGTAGACCTGTTTGCTCAAAGTCCTGTCCAGCCTGGCTTTGATCACTGACAGGGTGGTGCATCCACAGTGCGCAGTCTCAGTACATGGAGAAGAAGGCAATTTCAAATACTTCCATTGATAATATTTTTTAAAGATAAGTGAATTCCATCTGAAAATCAGAAAATGCATTCACATTTCTATCAATAAAGTACATTGTGCAACAATGTAATACTGCTTATTATACATGCCAGTAATTACAAGTGCAAGACTCAATGGCTGTATTGAATTCTTAGTGAAAATGTGGCTCTTTGAATCAGACTTTAGAAAGGATAACTAATAATTTACACCAATTTCTAGATAAAAAATTCAAAGTCAATGACATAAAAACATATTGGTAAACAAACTGTCTTCTTGATATTTTTTAAATGAGCAAATTCCAACTTGGTACATGTTATTATAAGTCTATTACAATGCAGTGTATCAATTTTCCATACTGGTTTGGCAGTACTAACTAACATCACCCTTGAAGATTTGATAATTCTAAATTTTAATTGCAAGCAACTCCATCTTACAGGAGGGTGGAAAAAATGCTGAATTTGCTCTCATTTTCTGATAGAACTGTGAGTGTCAATTCTTCAGCCTAAAGCAACCTGAATCTCTACCCTGGGATCCTAGGTGTAGCAGCTTCAGCACTGTCCCTAGCTGTACCACATCCTCCTAAACAGGGCACAAGATAGGCAATCTTTGCTCTGAAGCAGGGTCCACAAAATGAATTATCTTATTCCCAGCCAACATTAGTATCACACTAGGGGCCAATATGAAGAAGTCTGCGCTGGTGCTGTCGGAGGAACATGTTTGCAGGTGACAGACTTAAATTTCTAATGTTAGGTGAGAAATAGCCTTCTAGTTTTCCTAAATTAAATTATAGGCTACTGTCATATTTGTAGCCAGGTACGTTAACTACAGAAGCAGTATTTCAGCTGCTGCTGTTTCTTTTTCTAAGAAAATAAAGTGGGAGATAAAGTTCAAGGACAAAGGCAGGAGAGTAGGTCAAATATTGATACATTAATCTGGACATCAAAATGCTCTTGTATGTGTCCAAATGGCTGAGGCCCCACATAAAAACTGTGGCAAGACTAAAGCCATTGTGTTACTTACAGTTCCTGAAAGTCAGTTTTTTACTGGTGGCCATTCAGCTTTAACTATATTGTCAGCTACATACAGACCTCTGGGGGCATCATTTAGGAGAGAAAACACTTTCATTTCCACTTAATGACTGAGAAAGTTGTATGTCATGGACTGTTCAAAGCTCTCCAGCACCATAGGCAAAAGTTAATTTGCCCTCCTAAAGGATGAGAAACAAAATAATATATTTTGTATTCATCACTGGCAGCAATATAACTCCACACAAGGGTGAAGAGCCTGGATGGATGCATAGTGCTCCAGGGAAGGTTGCCAGCTTTCTCGAATCTCTAAGCTGCTTTCCTCCTCCTGCTAAGGACACTGACCTGAAGAAAAACAAATCCCAGTGACGGTGGTTAAAAGACATACGAGGTAAGAAGCAAACTGCCCTGTGCCTGAGATATGAGGCCATGATCCCCAAGCCCATCAAGACTACAGTTTCCTTTTCCTCTTCCACCACCACTGCCCAGAAATATGCCTGCGTCACCTGCCCAATTCCCAACCAAGTCCCTCTGTGCTCCCACTCTCTCTCTCCTCCTTAAGAAAGGCACAAGTCCCCCTAGCCCATCTCTCTCTTCCAGACGCATCTCCCCAAGATGTGGAACCCATTCTTCTACCAAGGTGTAGAGGTTTCTGCTGACACATATAACAGCCAGCTCAGTCTAACCCTGCCTGTCTCTATCCTTCTCCCTCTAAAGAGCTCCAGAAACACAAGCCTGGGGGAAGAGGAGGAGACTGTGGCCTCTCTCTCCTCCACCCAGCTCAGCTCTGGTGGGAAGTCAGGGTGAAGACAGGCTACTGACTCCCAGCTCTACTGAGCAACCAGCGGCTATAGGAAGCACCTTGGCCATGTCTATCCTCTAGGTGCAACACACTGGACTCCTCTTCAGTGACTGCTTGAAAACAAAAGATTATTTTCCTCCAGAAGTCACACGTGGAATGCCCAGCAGATGCATAGGACTCAAGCAGAATATAATTATAAATTAAATGGGGAAAATTAAGGTGCAACATCTTTGATTTGTATTTTTGGCAGCAAACTGTCAATGACGTTGGAAGCTGCATTTTTGTTTTTTTCCCATACATGGCTTTTATGAAGGTTTTACTTTAAATCAGAAGACAAACATGGAGAAAAATATTTCTACTGAAGCTTGTTTATAGTATGTTTTCTCAGGTTTCATTCCCTCTTGTACTGAAAGTTTATCTAAACCAGAACTTCACAGATTCACTCCTAGGTCTTTTTTTTGTGAAGTGTTCAGAGGAGTCTATACCATGTAATATTGTAAAAGTGCTGCCTTCCTCTAACACTGTGGTTAAGTTTTCATTTAATAGCAAATAGATTATTTAATCTGTTGAGTCTGATATCTAGCATTTCCTATAATCATAAAAAGCCACAAGTCTCCCTCATAAAGCTGCTCTTAGTACATTGTGTCCCACAATTGTTAGTTCATTGCTCTCCCAATAGCTCTGGGAAAGGCCCGTTGCTATTGATATCCACATCCCAGTGGAAGCATTTTCCTTTGAGCTACTCTGTTTCATCAAGTTATTAGATGACCTGAAGTCTCTTGGAGCCCCAGATTACTGAATCCAGACTTTTGTGCTAGTATTTTATTTCTGACATTCTACCTTCTGAGAGATGGTTGTAGGTGAATGATTTTTCTACTGTCACAAGATGTATTGGTTTAATTTAATGCATTCCTGCAAACAGCATCACATTTGGGACCCCACCTGGAGTAGTACTGAATTCAGCTCTGGGGGGCCCAGCACAAGAATGATGAGGAGCTGTTGGAGTGAAGCTGTTGAGTGATGCTCAGAAAGCTGGAGCACCTCTGCTATGGGGACAGACTGAGAGAGCTGGGATTGTTCAGCCTGGAGAAGGCTCCGGGCAGACCTTAGAGCAGCTTCCAGTACCTAAAGGGGCCCTAGAAGAAATCTGGAGAGGGATTTTTTTTTATAAGGGCATGTAGTGATAGGACAGGAGATATAGCTTTAAACTGACAGAGGTAGATTTAAGTTAGATATTAGGAAGAAATTCTTCACTATGAGAGTGGTGAGATACTGGAACAGGTTGCTCAGAGAAGGTGTGGCTGCCCCATCCTTGGCAATGCTCAAGGCCAGGTTGGGTGGGCCTTGGAGCAACTTGGTTTAGTAGAAGGCGTCCCTGCCTGTGGCAGGTGGTTGGAACTAGGTAAAATTTAAGGCCCTTTCCAACAGAAACCGTTCTATGATTCTATGATTTGTTCCTCTCCACAAAAAAACTACCACATGCGAACTCCACTAACATGCTTCCCTTCTTCTTATAACCTCTAGTAGCCAAAATCTCCTCAAAACTACACATCATCGTGAGTGTGTAGCTCTGAATTCAGTGATGCAGGACAGCATTCAGGGATGAAAGGACCCACTGAGGGGCTTCTTACACCTCCTTGTGGCAGTCTGCCTCAGAATTGCTCTGACTTCCCACGCATCTCCCTGTCTATCTCTTTTGCCCCTTAATATATCCTTTTGGAGGCTACTTACATAAGGAGTGATGGCAGTCTTGAAGATGATGTAATTGAAGTAAATTAAAGTTCTAATAAGAAATACATGCAAACATAGAGAAAAGCATCACTGGACATGAAAGAAGCTACAAATTCTACTTTCACAAGGGTGCAACACCTTCCTACAGCTCTTCTGTACCTGAAGTTTCACTAATTTTTCTCCTCTAGTCAATGGAGACTCAGGTCTGACACAAAAATTGCTTGTGCTGTACCTTTGGTCCCAATTATATTTGCAATGGGTATCTCCAAAGGTTGCCATTTTTAGTCAATGAATATGCAAAGATTAAATATAAATCATACTGAACACGTATATAACTGCTCATTTGTGCAATTTTTTAAACGTCTCTGAAAACAGGACTGTAAAATGCAGAAAATAACACTTTTATAGTGGCCAGCAGCCATATACTATTTTCTAAACACCAAAACACAGGTAGCAAAGCAAACCTGTTATGTACCCCATGGTAGTGAAGAAATTCTTCCGTCAAAATACTGTTTTGTGGTGATTCAGTTGCAAATAAGGAGATAATATGTTTATCTACTCATATAAACAAAAAGTGAGATTTATAAACAATGAAGTATACAAATGATAAGTTTCCAGAAAGAATAAAAGTAGAAAATATGTTAGTAATATTAATTTCCTTTGAAAAAAAAAGTTTTATAATCCAATACATACATTGAAGGCCTTATAGCCCCTCAAGTTTTCAACATGGAAAACACACACTGGGAACCGTTATGAAGCACAGGAACAGAAATGCAGCTGCTTACATTATTGCCCTGTTCAAAATACTTTTCTACAATAAACACTTCTACCATTGCCCTCAATTTAATGCCTCTGTTTTGATCACTTGAACAACCACCCAGCTGACGCAAGGTGGCCTTGCTCTGCTAGGGTACAACTGCTCAGTCAAAATACTTTCTCCCTGGTTGCCAAGACATCACTTTGAGGCATGACACAGTAAAAGCCAGTTTTTTCTTCTGAATTCTACAAGTATCGACCACCCTCCCTAAAATCAACCATCAGTAACAATTTTCATATAGTACTATATATATTAAACTTAGGATAACAATGTCTGCATCAGGTAGCACCACTACCATTCAGTTGCCATTCATCACCACCGGGATCTGTCTGCCTCAGCAGTCCAATTACCTTTGCAATTAGCATCCTTCTCTCCTCTCCTTTATGAAATTTGGATGACACAAGTTAGAAGAATGTAGTCAGCGGTGTTACAGGCCAGGTGGACAGTAAATGCATTAAGTCATGTAAAGTCTTCAATATCAATGAATCATTTCAAGCACAGAGTGGAAAAAAATGGGTGCATTATATTTTCAACATCTAAACAGGAGGGAAAGAAAGAAAAGAAGGGGGGGATCTAATTTCACATACATAAAATCTAATGAAAGAAAATATTTAATTACCAGTAACACCTTTAAAATTGTCTTAATCATAGAAATGTCACTGGTTATAGCTTCAATTAACTAAAAAATAGACAAACCTTAATTTTTCTCACAAACATACACAGACTGTCACAATTAATTGCAGAATGCTAACTTATTAAGGCTTGCGACACTTAACATTTAGTTTTAGATTGATATAAGGAAGAAGTTCTTTACTGTTAGGGCGGTGAGGCACTGGAATAGGTTGCCCAGGGAAGCTGTGAATGCTCCATCCCTGATGGTGCTCAAGGTCGGATTGGACAGAGCCTTGGGTGGCATGGTTTAGAGTGAGCTGTCCCTGTCCACGGCAGGGGGGTTGGAACTAGATGATCTTAAGGTTCATTCCAACCCTAACTATTCTATGATCCTATGATCCTATGATTCTGTGATTAACAGGGTCCTTGACACTGGTAAGAGCTTGAATGACAACCTGATAAAGCAGAAGGAAAGAAAAATGAAATGATTCCTAGCAAACCAAAAAAAAAAAAAAAAGTTGAACCTCACCATCATTTAAGGAAAAAAATGTTGGCCTGCATATGTTTTTAAGGACAGACTGTAATAAGAAAATGCAGTTTTCACAAGTATAGCATGGTAATACATAGGTCATCACTTAAAACAAAGCTTCTCATTGAGAACCAGCCTGAATCTCCATCATGTCTCCTTTTATCCCAGTTCCTAACTGTAAAGAAATGTCAAGGACAAGCAGTAACTTGTAGGTCTGAGATGAGTCCCATTTACAACAGGCGTAACCTGTGAATAGTATATTCAAGTACAAACTCACAATTTACTCTGTGCATTTATCATATTGAGAAGAGCTGGTCCTTTGACAACTGCCTCTGAGAATTTCATCCTCTTCTAAATACACAAATGCCAATGATGCCAAGGCGGTAAGGGCTAGCTTTCCCATACCTGAGGTAAGTAAAAACTTGACAAATCAGGTTTTGCTTAAAGTTTAACAAGGGTGTGGGTTTTAGGCACTTGCTCTAGTTTTCTGATTTATTTTTACAAGGAGAAAATTTCACAAGTTAACCAAATAATAAAAAAATGCAGAGGAATAAAAAAACTTGAGCTGAAAGAGTTTCTGAGATGACGATGATTTCATTCATGGCTCAGGATGTATGGGGACTGTGCAGGGGCAAGAAGGTTTTATAAAGCCTATTTTTGTTTGCTTATTTTTGAAAAAATAAAAAACAAACCACAAAACCAAACAAACCAGGTGATACTGTAGACAGCAGAATGTTTATTTTTGTGTAACACTTGTTAACTGTACTTGTATAGCATTTGTAGCATTTGTATAGCATTTTAATGTGTGTTAAGTACTTGGTAAAACGGGAGCATGAAAACTGAGAGCAATTTCATAAATCATAGAGATTTGGAGACTTGTATGAGAACAAAGTGTGAAGAACATAAAGGCTTGCTTTGCTTTTAAACAAATAGTACCCTCCCCATATGCAATGCTGAGTAAAGGTCTAGTGCCTTTCCAACGTGCACAAACAAATAAATTTGCCTCTGCAACTAAATCTCTCATTTATTGTCAAACTGCTGTTTTGGTTTTGGGGAAAAGTATCACAAAAAGAATCACATATTCTCCTCTTTGACTACTGCATGGGAGACGGATTGAATCTGGCTCTTGAGTTTCTAAGATCACAGGTCCCAGTCTCCTTAAGGAGCAGATCTGCATTCCTTGGGAATAAATGACACTTGGGCATTTACCTCCTGTGGCTGCTTGTGAATACAAAAGGTAAGTGGTTCTAGAGAATGAGAACAGAAATTAAAAGAAGAGAAGGGAAAAGAAGGGAAGAGAAGGGAAGAGAAGGGAAGAGGTGAAGGGAAGAGAAGGGAAGAGGTGAAGGGAAGACAAGGGAAGAGAAGGGAAGAGAAGGGAAGAGAAGGGAAGATGACAAGGGGAGACAAGGGGAGACAAGGGGAGACAAGGGAAGACAAGGGAAGACAAGGGGAGACAAGGGAAGACAAGGGAAGACAAGGGGAGACAAGGGGAGACAAGGGGAGAGGTGAAGGGAAGAGAAGGGAAGAGGAGGGAAGAGGAGGGAAGAAGAGGGAAGAGGAGGGAAGAGGAGGGAAGAGGGGAGAAGAGGAGGGAAAAGAAGGGAAGACAAGTGAAGATAAGGGAAGACAAGGGAAGAGGAGAAGGGAAGAGGAGAAGGGAAGAAAGAGGAAAAAGATGAAAACAGGAAAGCAGCACAAGAAGAAAGCAGAAGAGGAAAGCAGGAAAAGGGAGGAAAAGGGAGGAAAGGGAAGGAAAATGAGAAGAGAAAGAAGAGGGAGAAAGGAGAGGGGAGGGGGAGGGGGAGAGGGAGGCGGGGCGGGGCGAGGCGAGGCGAAAAAAAGAGAAAGAAAGGAGAGGAGAGGGAGAGGAGAGAGGGGAGGGGAGGGGAGGGGAGGGGAGGGGAGGGGAGGGGAGGGGAGGGGAGGGGAGGGGAGGGGAGGGGCAGGGAGGGGAGGGGAGGGGAGGGGAGGGAAGGGAAGGGAAGGGAAGGGAAGGGAAGGGAAGGGAAGGGAAGGGAAGGGAAGGGAAGGGAAGGGAAGGGAAGGGAAGGGAAGGGAAGGGAAGGGAAGGGAAGGGAAGGGAAGGGAAGGGAAGGGAAGGGAAGGGAAGGGAAGGGAAGGGAAGGGAAGGGAAGGGAAGGGAAGGGAAGGGAAGGGAAGGGAAGGGAAGGGAAGGGAAGGGAAGGGAAGGGAAGGGAAGGGAAGAAGAGAAGAGAAGAGAAGAGAAGAGAAGAGAAGAGAAGAGAAGAGAAGAGAAGAGAAGAGAAGAGACGAGAAGAGGAGAAAAGAAAAAAGAAAAGAAAAGAAAAGAAAAGAAAAGAAAAGAAAAGAAAAGAAAAGAAAAGAAAAGAAAAGAAAAGAAAAGAAAAGAAAAGAAAAGAAAAGAAAAGAGGACAAGGGAAAGGAAAAAGGGAAAAAAAGGGGAAAAAAGGCAGAACTAGGGAACAAAGGGGAAAAAGGGGAAAAGGGGAAAAGGGAGAAAGGGAGAAAGGGAAAAGGAAAGTGAGAGAAAAAAAAAAAACAACTCGGGTGTTTTTGCCCATATTCTATCAATGTAAAGAGCAACACACTGATAAAGCAGGCAGCTTTTAAATGCCTATTTATTCTGTTATTCAATTGAAAATACATACCAGTAAGGATTGCATGGCTTACACTTAACATTTACCTTGCTGATACCAGGAAGCTATTAAATGCTGCTGTAATATAAAGTATTAAAAAAATCTGGTAAAATTTATATATATTTTGACCATTCAAACCACTCAGTCTGATAACTCTGAATACCCAAAATGATGTGTAACTACAGCAAATGGCTGCTAAGGACCAAGCTTCCCTCCCTCCCTCCCTCCCCCACTCCCCATGCCTCACACAGAACAAATTGTTTCCCTACACACCCCAGACCTGCCTGAGGACTCCTTGACATTTGCCCACTAGACAGGAGTTTTAGTTACTAGTGCCTACACTAAACATTAAGGACACATTTCCAGTTAATGAGAAGATGAATCACCATTACAGTAAAAACATTACGGGGATGCTGGAAATAACTGTAAGAACCCTAGTGCTGTAAATGCCCAAACTGCAGAATTAACCTTAAATTTACAAATAAACAGCTTTCACCAGCATGGAAATGAACTGTTTTGATCCACACACAATATTCACTGTGTCTCTTAGTGTGGGATGACCAATTTGAAGCCATTAATGTCAGAACAGAGTTGGGGGCTGTTTTGAGAAATGGTTTTTAAGGAAAAAAAATAAAAATTAAAAAAATTAAAATAAAAAAATCTTTTTTAACCTCACTCCTTTTTTTCAGACCAGAACAGAAGGAGATAGCAGATGTTTTGGAAGAAATCACTTTTAGATTGAGGAAAATCTATTATTAATTAAATATCCATAGAAGGTGAAAGCTTCACTTATTGAGAACAATCTAAAGTTATGTTCTGTGTTCCCTGCACAGCTTATAAATATTATTTTAACAGGGCAGATTAGAGGATTCCATCTTTATAGCTAAGGCTAAGGGTGTAAGGGGAAAAAAATCATTTGACTTCCGGAGCTAAATGTTCTGAAAGACATGTGCATTAATTAATTTTTAATCTGTAAACTCTCTTAAATCTTTAGTTTAAAGTAAACATTTTGGAATCATAAAAACACTCACACCTAAAAAAGGCTGGTCAGTCCTAATTTACATGCAAAACTCAATTCTTTCCTAATTATGAAACCAGGACCAGTTCTTAGAAAGTCTATTTCCCCCTACCCCTAATTCAAGTGCACCATTGTAACATTTGCTTCTTCTGAGGAGCAAATGCAAATTCCATTCTGTTTGCACTCAACAGCTAATAAAAGGTTGCCTGCCACTCAGACACTGCCAGCAGTGAGCAGGATTTAAACAGAGTAATAAGAAAAACATCAATTTCGTCCCAACTGTCCTGTAGTTAAAGCTACAAGAGAGGCCTGTAATTTGACTAAATAAATAATATCACTGTTTGGTATGGGTGAAATTAATTCTATTTTTTTTTCCTTTTTTATTCTCTTTTGATTTTGAAATTCCTTGGAATTACAATCTTAAACGTTTAGTTTGCAGTTGTAGGATCTGCTGAAAACCGGTTAGCCTTTAAAACAAAACAACAGCAACAACTAAATCCCCATGACTTGGTAATAATAAGTGAGGGAAGGTGTCACCTGAGTGAACCAAGAGGCCAAGACATTATATCTGGTCTCAGACAGGTTCTAGTGAAACAACAAGTGACCATCTGTCGAACATAAGAGGCATAACACATTTTCCTTACTACAGCAATTACAC